CAATCTGGAGAAAACAGACAAACAGAAACTTTATTTCGATCATTGACCAATAAAAATACATTCCATAAAACAAACAAAGCAAAATTATCCTGTAACATCAATAACTGTTGGCAATCATTTGTGGGTGAAGCTTACACATAATGTAGCATAATTTTGATACTCTTAGAGAAATAAATTTATCTTGGTTGTTTAACAAGTAATGCAAATAAAGTTTATGTGAGAGAATGTCTTCTTGGTTAGACGCTTTTTCAGCATGTCTGAAGTAGGTGTAGTTTCTGTGAAACTGTTTATATCCACAGTTCAAAGACTATAATACCATGTGGCAAGCTTATTAATGGATTGTACAACTAATAAGGATCTTTTCCATTTTTAAAAAATTAAATATTTTGGCCTGTTAGATAACAAGCTCCTGGAGAAGTCAGATTTCCATTCAGTGCTGGCTGACAAGCTACAAGTGGAAAAGTATGATTTGCCAAACCGGCATGAGATCAGGTACTTTTTAAGTCAATTCTAGGGAGAGTTACTGTGTCTTCTTTACAACCAGCAATATAACAGGGCCTTTTGCTCTCCTGTGTAATATTCATTACAATTATTTACTACTAATAGCTACTGCATAACTTTGTGTTTGATTCTATACATGCTGCACATGCTTTATTTCCAAATAAGTTTGTTTATAGATATAGTAGTCTGGACCAGTCAGATATAGATATAGATATAGATATAGATATAGATATATGTTAATTTAATCTTAATTTTGTAACATATGTGGCAAATTATACATCCATGGTGATATAATTATGCAAATGATGCAAATTACATCAAATTGTGTAATGTCATTATGCGAATGATATAAATTGATGCAAATTATTATATTATTCAAATGTTGTAAATAACATACTGGTACTGTATACTTTCATATTTATTGGGCATTTGGGAATGATAGGTAAGCCCTCCCCCCAAATCATCTGTTAAAATAAGGCTTCATTATTTTAAATAGAGATCAGTGGCATACAATACAAAGAGGAATGGGAATTGCTTAATGTAATCTCAATGAAATGTCAGTGGAAAATCAATGTGTGGAGACTGTATTAGTTCTTGTGGAGTACAGGTAGTCCTCGCTTAACGAGCATTCAGCAACTGTTCAAAGTTACAACAGCGCTGAACAAATGGTATTTACAACAGTCCTCAGAGTTCCAGCCATCACAGCGTCCCTGCAGTCACATGATCGCAATTTCCGACATTCCCTGCCAGCTTCCCACAAGCAAAGTCAGTGGGGAAGCCAGCAGGAAGTCAGAAGTCACAATCACATGAGGTCCTTGCGTAACAACAGCAACCAGGACTGCCAGAATTGCTGTCGCTAAGCAACGCAGTCACATGACATCACGCTTTATGACCGCATCACTTAATGATGGAAATTCAGGTCCCAATTGCCGTCGTAACCCGAGGACTACCTGTAGTTTGAACATCTGCATGAATTAGATAAACTCAGCATCTTACCTTCTGTTCCTTTGGAAAATTCAGCCCAGGACATGATGGTGCAAGAAATGATGCTCATCTTCAAGAAGTAGCTCAATTAAGGATTAAACATCAAGAGGAGTTGACAGAGCTGCACAAGAAACGGGGCGAGGTTAGGAAAAATTTGTCCTTACTTGCAGCAGTACAATGCACAAATACTATTATTTGATTCTCTATCCCATGAATTTCAGAACAATAAAAATGTATCTCCAAAAGAACTTTTTATATTAAGCAGTCAACGTTTGCGCTTTTCTCTTGCTTTCATTCTAATAAAAAAAAAATCAATATATATTGTTGTAGACAAAGCAGCATTTATTCAATTTTTTAATTAAGATACTTTGTTTTTGTGATGCCTTTCTTCATCTGTTACTAGAAACCTGGGAAATGATTTATGATACCTCCTTCTTTTAAGATTCTGTGTTTAGAAATTAAGGTACAACTTACTGTATCTTTCAGCTACAACTTACTGTGCCTTTCAGTTACATTGTGTAGTCATGATTGTCTTTTGATTTCTGTATTCATTGATCACTTAAGTTTGTCCATATGGGGTCCGTAAATCTACCAAATGAATACAGCATGAATACAGTGATATCTTGGTTTTGATTGAGAGACATAAAATACATCCTTAATGAAGTGCATGCATTCAGAGAGATGCAAAAGAGATGCAAAAACTACCAACTATGATAGAAATTTTGATTCTTCGTTAACATAATTAACTAAGTAACATTAATGTTAATGTTATTAATTAACATTAACTTCACTATTTTTTCTTTCTTTGTAGTTGGCCCAATCTGTGATTGATTTAAACAATCAAATACAACAGAAGGACAGAGAAATACAAACAAATAATGTCAAGTGAGTAAAATCCATTTATTATCAATAGAACTTTATCTTGGTCCTCAGTGCTAGCCTTCAGATTTTCATTATATTAGTTGCTTCCATTGAAGAATTGCAGAGTATTTACAGAAGATATCTGAACTGGAAACAGAGTGCCATGATTTGTACAACAAGCTTCAAGATCTCGAACGAGCTAATCAGACTCTTAAGGATGAATATGATGCTCTTCAAATCACCTTTACTGCTCTTGAAGAAAAATTGAGAAGAACCACTGAAGATAACCAAGAATTGGTAACCCGTTGGATGGCAGAAAAGGCTCAAGAAGCTAATCGGCTCAATGCAGAAAATGAGAAGGATTTAAGGTATGATGCTGGCAGTATTTTCCATGTAAGCATGTGAGTTCAGACTGTTAGAAACCTATCCTCAGAATTCCTTCTTCCTTTGTCCCCATGCCTTTGCCATGTTTCTTTTTCCTTTGATTATCAGAGGCTTTGGGGTGTGGTTTTGAATCCTTTAGAGTAATGGTAGAGGCTTCTTCAAGTTGAGCTCAACTCCTGGTAACTGGCAACAGTATGAGAAAGGTTAGCTGTTGCCTTTTTCTGGAATGTTTTTCAATTTCTCAGTCTACCCTACTGCTCTGTTATTTCTTGGTAATCTATCCAGTCATTAAAAGGCCTTTACTTGCTTGGCTTCTGAGCTAAGCCATCTGCTGAGGTCTAGTCTTTAAATCCTTATGTTTATAAAATTTTGATTTGAGGCTTAAGCTTGGTTTGAATATAAAACAGTTAAATGTTAGCTCATAATATTCAGATTATGCCCATTCAAATAGCCTCATTTTTTCCTGATGTGTTTCTTCATAATGTGAATATTATATCTAAACTAGTAGACTAAATCTAGAATTAGCATCAGTTTCTGTGATGGAAATAATGTCTGATATTCACAATATGTCAGTATTTATGGGGACTGCTCATATGTTAAAACTGTTGATTTATTAGTGCTATTTTATTTAAGAAATGTAGTACCCTGTAAGAATTACAAAATGACTTTAAGGCACCTTAAAACATCCTAGTTAAGGTAAATGTTTCTGGGCAGTTAGTTTTCACTTGGGCCCAGTGAGACATGAGATCCAGTGTACTCCGATGAACCTTGCATTTTACTAGCATCAAGATGCAGATACATTTTTTGAAGCAACAAGTCTGCCCACTGGGATTTCTATACCAGGGAGCTTAAGCCAATAAGACATTGGGGGGTTTCTCCTAATTACCAGATCCTTAACACTTGGAATGCAACTGTTCAAATGAATATTGATAAATGTTACAGAGTTGACACATATTTCCTAACATTTTTCTTCTCTGGTAGGAGAAGGCAAGCTAGGCTTCAGAAAGAACTAGCAGAAGCTGCTAAAGAACCACTGCCAATTGAACAGTAAGCATTCACTAGTCTAATTACTTCCTAATGACTATATTACTCCCATTTCCAGGCTGAAAATATGAAAATTCATTGTCCAGGCTGCATGATTGTTTGGCTCCTAATTTTACATCGGCATTCTGATGTAAAATGTGTGATCAAATTATAAAAGCTTCCTAATTTTATCAGCAACAAAATTGTGGAGAATGGGAATAAAGATGATAATGGATTTTTGTTGGGTTGGGTGAAATTATCTTCCCCTTTCCCAATTGTGATAAATTGTGTATTCTTAGACAATTGTCAAGAATCAGAAAAGCAAGTTTATTTATTGGTGGCAGCTTGGTGTCAACGAATCTGGTGGATTTACCTTCATGAATGCTTTCATCTTCTTCCTTGACTCAACCATAGTAGGGACAGATTTCCCCTGCCAACTAAAATTCTGATTTTTTTTAAAAAAATTCATTTATTTTCACCAAGACTTTAATCCTTATTTTTATATCCCTTGATCTTTGTAACTTTGGTATTTACTGACTTTAGATTTACAGTTTGCAACAACTTTATTGGCTCTATATATTGACTTTGTTTTTCTTTATTTTGCTTCCTTATCTTGGCCTTCTGGAGCTTAACATGTTTCATACAACTCAATGGCTATATCAGGTGGAAAGAAAATGTATATGAGAAACAAGAACTGATTAGCAATAGATCAGATTAACCAGCCACAAACTTTTTCTTTTAAATAATTGTACAAGCATCAGATTGCTTAGTTTGGTAGTTACTGTATATGGAACTTACCTTGCTTTGCTTTACTTCTGCTTATTTTACTGCATCGTGTACTAAGTGAACTTGTTTGGACTAGGTATTAATTATTTGCATTTATTCTTTTAAGTGCATTGATACAGTTCTAAACTTATTTTAAAGTACAGCAAGTTTATTCTTGCCTAACTTAATTACCTGAATTTATTATTTATTTTTATTTTATTTATTATTAAATTTGTATGCCGCCCATCTCCTGCTACAGGTGACTCTGGGCGGCTCACGATTAAGAATCAAAAGCCCAGAAACAATTAAAATACCCCATAAATAATTAAATTACTCAATCCATAAAAATCCACTATAAAAAAAACCCTATACATAAATACTAAAGACATTCAAGATGATGGGGGGGGGGGTAAAATCAATTACCCCACAAGACACTTCCATTGATGCAAGCCCCCATCCAGCCCCCAGGCCTTCTGGCATAGCCAGGATTTCATACCTTTCCTAAAGGCCATGAGAGTGGGGGCACACCATACCTCGGGAGGTAGATTGTTCCATAGAGCAGGGGCCACAGCAGAAAAGGCCCTCTTCCTAGATCCCAGCAGTCGAAATTCCTTGACTGGTGGTGTCTGCAACATGCCCCTTCTGCTGGACCGAGTGGGGTGGGCTGAGATAACGGGCAAGATAGCTCCTCATAGTTGACATTACAAGAGGAAGCTCCTGTATAAGGGATAACTATACAAATATTTTGTAATAACCTTAAAATATTTGGTACTGAATTAGTATTCTATGTGGTTGCAGCCAGATAGTGCTTGGAGGGGGCTTGTTATGTGTGATCTTGACTCCAAAACCACCTTATTCCTCTGACACTTTTAAAAATGGCCAGGAACTACACCAGCCTTAGAGCTGATAGTTAACTTTCATCCCATCATAGGGAACAGTAAGGGGGAAAAATGCTGAAATCACAAGTACAATGCAGTGAAATGTATGCAAACTTAGCTGGAATTCCATGGATAAAAATTTTCCTATTCTACTTTGTCAAATTGCTTAGAAATAGTTATATTTTAACTGATTGCACAAAGTTTACATTCAAAGTTAAATAATTTCAGTTTTAACAAGTTATATTAAGCAATGTGATTAAAAATTGTAAAAGGCAAATAAAATACAGCAATGGCATAGCTAATTCTGTTGTTCAGTTATCGTTTACATCATCCCTAAGAACTGTGCTGATAAGTACAGGCAGTCAAATTCTGTATTTGAAATAGTAGAGGAGGAGGCTGCTTAATGTGAAATGCCTGATCTTCTTGAACATTCAAGGTATGATCTGTCTTTCTCCAGGGATGATGATATTGAAGTACTCACAGATGAAACCTCCGATCCAGCTGAGGAGACATCTCCAGTTCGGGCTGTCACCCGGACAACAAGGTAATATGTGAGCAGAGATGTTTGGAAGCGTTTTTTCCAAAGAGTTTCATATAATATTTCCAGGTGGGAAGAAAAACTCGTAACTATTCTTGATTTGATTCAAGAACTTCATCTTAAGAAGAAAATGTATTGAGAAAGTTACTCTTTCCTGGGTAGATGAATTATAAATTAATTGATAACTGATGCCAGTGTGAAGATAATTTAGCAGCTATATGCCCTATTGTAATAAAATGAGAATTGCACAGCTGTTGTTTTTTGCTCCCATTTATTTTAGTAGGATACAAATGAGAACATTAGCTTTATGCCTATAGCAAACAGTCCAATAGTTACAGAGTTCTCTGATGTTCCTATTGAACCTTTTTTCAAGAAATCCCTATTTTACAGTACCATTATTCTTTAGCTAGGAATATTTCCAAATTTTAACTTTGTAGGGCTCACAAATAAGTACAGGGAAGGAGTCTCTCCTTTTCTATCCACATCTGCTTTTTACCATAGCGGTGCTATTCCTGATGCTGGAAAGAGCATTGTAAAGCTCTGATGGCCTTGAATTAAAATGGTGCTCTAACAGTTAGGAAATAGTCCCTACACAGCTTCAGAGAGTTGGGTTTATACCAACATTCTCAGTTTGTTTATGGCAGAGCCATGTCATGGGGATAGTAAAGGAAGACTCAAATCCTCTCTGTGTAAATATTAACAAGATCAAAATTATAAAAGGTTGAAAATGTTAAGAGCCATACTAGTTAACACTGAAAGCTTTGTAAAAAGTTGCCTTTTTGGACAGTTGGCCCATCTAATATTGGTGATAGCTGCAGATAATAGGCTCTTAGATAATTTTGTTTCCAACCCTATGTTGGAACTGAATCTGCAAACAAAACATGCAGAACCTAAAGTCTTTCCATTTAAACTGGCTTAAAAGCAAAAATGTTTACACTTCTTGTTAAAGGCCAGTATAGGCCAACTATCACATTAGTCATGAGAATGCTTGGGTACAAGAAAGAGTATGTGCTCTGCCTTCATATAAGTATGTCTTTAATTTTATTCTCAAAGTTCCAATTAAATCTATTAGGGAGCCTTTTTCTTCCTGCTCATAGGACAACAAAAATTGTCTTCAATTCATAATTGCTTATGCAAGCTTTTTATTTAGATCCAAGATGGTGGCTTTTTGGACTGTCCTGTTACCATTAACTTTCCGTGCTGAATGTGGGGCTTGAAGATTGAGAGTTATGGTCTTGTGTGTTTTGTTCTGTCCTTGAAAACTGTCCTCCCCTTCTCTTTAGTAAGCGACTCTCCCAGCCCACTGGAGGCCTTCTGGATTCTATCACTAATATCTTTGGGTAGGTTGGAATATGTTTACCTTTTCGTGACATATTAGTTCAATATATACCAGCACCTCAGTGATGCTAGGAATGCAAACAATTCTTCTTATGTCAAGTCTTTTTTCTAGTTTCTATCTCTCCTTTTCTTTTGTGTTCAATTCCTTACTTCTGCTGTGTGCTGACCTCTGATCTTTCCCTCCAGTCTGTCTGAGTCTCCCCTTTTGGGACATCACTCTTCTGATACTGCCAGGTGAAAATTTGCTTGAAATTATTCACACTTAATCCAGCATGCGATGAGAGATGCTGAATAATTGTGTCATGTTGTTTCTGTAGCATTGAAAAGACTTTCCGGTTAAATGATGCATAGATGTATCATAGATGCCTGAGGTATAACAACTCAGAGAAGAATTGCTGAATATAATCTGTATGACTGCTGTGGCCAGTCATTTTAGTAATTTTTGTGTTATGTAGAAGTTCTCTGTTAATAATGCAATGTATGTTTTAAATTAGGCACCAATCATAGGTTATGTACATTTGCAACTGAATAGGATTTACTTTGTATAGGGAAAAGCACTGTTAAAAAAATAGTAGCAGATATTTAGCATATTGGTGTCAGACAATATTCGCCTCTATTGGCAGACAATTTTAATTTGGGATTCAATACAGCTGCTGTAATTTTGATAAATTTTTCCCTACTCTGGCATAAAGAGTTTTTATGCAATCAGTTGGGTTCATGCAAGAAGCCAATTGCAAAGATTATAGAGGAGTCCCTAACATGCACACCCATCTCTGGGTATTGCTGCCCTGTTTTTGAAATATTGAATTTGTTTTAAGACTCCTTGGCTTTCCTCCTATTCTTACCTATTGTGTAATTGGGGTCATCCCCCGGCCTATAGTCTGATGATACAGCTAATTTCCTCCATATGCTTATTTGCGTATTGATGTGACCTTCCTCAGGAGGCGTTCTTTGTCCTCATGTGCTATCCCTCAAGATAGTACCGATGTACATCCTACTGCAAGCAAAGAGGTCCGAGTCCCCAACACAGCATTGTGTGTCTTTGTAAGTATATCTAGGATGCATTATCTTTAAAGAATAAATATGTTTTGCTGAGTAGTTTTCCAATTTACTTTTGTGTGGTACTTACTTTGCAGTGTAAACATGTGAATTGCTTCAGGTTTTACTTCATGTTCAGGCATCCATTTCTTTGTTTTCATGATGAGATGCTATATGTTCATGATATGACTAGCACAAGGGTCTTTTGTGGCCTTGCAAAGAAAGAGCTGTAGTGCAAAGAGCAGGACCCATTTTGCAACAAGAAATGGATCCTGCTAAATCAGCCAAAACCTGAGGAATTGTAATAAATACTGAGGTCAGTGATGACTACAGAAAGGTCTGATTGCACTAGTGTAATTGTGTATCCATACCTTCCAGAGCTCCCAGCAGTTTTTCTCTCTCCCATCCATGCTCCAGTAATGTTGTAAGATGTTATAAAGCTGCTGACATTATACGGGTATAGTCAGTTCATGTTGCTTGCAGTCAAAAGCACTCAGAGCTGACTCTCCCCCAACAAAGCTAATGAAGGAGCTGTCAGTTCTGGAATGTGTTCTAATGTGCATGATCTTTAGTTTTCAAGCTGAGACCTCTTTTTTTCCCCTGCAAATATTTTTTTTCTGACTCGGCATCACTTTTCCACTTTTAACTTCTATAATAGTTTTTTTAATTATTATTAAATACATTAAGTCACTTTAGTAATGGGACCAAATGTACGGCATTGTTTTATGAATGACATGGAATAAACACATAACAAATATGATTCTACAATGTAGGCATTTAATCCTAAACAGTGTAAAATCTCATAATGTACAAATACTAAACATAGTCCAGGAAAAACACACACACATGCATACAGACATAAACACAAATCTGGTAGTTGTTTTACTTCATAAATTTTTCTGTTTTAGTTGGTATTTATATCTTTTAATGTACAGTATTTATTTATTGTTTTCAGCCTTGTTGTACGCTGCCCAAAGTTGCTTGCTGGTGAGATGGGCAGCTATATCAATTGTATACATAAATAAATAAATAAAATGCAAAATTAGTTCAATTTTTCTTTTCATTCTGATATACAAGATTGTCAGATTTACTGCTTTACTAATGGTCCATTCTTTTCTTGATCACTTTTCAGTGTGTAGCTTTTATCATTTCTTCAGTATTTTGCAATGATTTTTTGACAACAGTGAAGAAATCTTTTATCTTATCTGACTTCATGAAATGAATATTAATATATGTGGGTGTTACAACACATACACTGATTTTTCATCTTCCCTCTTTTCCATATATTTTCCTATATGTATTTTATTATAATTTCAGAGTTGCAAACAGCATTCAGAATCATTGATTTATCATAGATTTTTAGGAGGTGGAACTCCTTGGAGCAAAAAAAAAAAAAAAATCCCGAAGTCTTTTTCTATAATTTTTTTAAGAGATTGGTTGCTACATGTATTAAGTTACTTATAAATAGCTTCAAACAGGAAATGGAACTCAAAAGTTGATAGACATTTGGGGAGGGTTATTATTAACTCTGTGAGAGTCTGGTTCAATTTTTATGTATGCTGTCAGAGGCTAACAGATCTGGGTCCTGAAATCATCAATAATTGTTGATTGTGTTTATTGTTTGTTTTGCATCTCCTTAGGATGCTCATGATGGGGAGGTTAATGCAGTCCAGTTCAGCCCTGGCTCTCGTTTATTAGCAACAGGAGGCTCAGACCGGAAAGTCAAAATTTGGGAGGTTTTTGGTGGTAAGCTCTTTAAGGAGATATCGGGAAAAGAGACAAGAGGTTTTAATTCCTGGAGATAGGATTTTTTTCTTCCAAGTTTGATTCCATAGTTGATAGCTTCAAAATATAGCTACACTTCTGAGCTAAGAAATTAATTAGGAATCCCAAAATAAATTCCTTAGTGCATTGGAATGATAAAATGTCTTTTCCAGAACTATTTAGTCAATAGGAGAGGATGTATGGGTCTAGTGATGCAGCACAGTCTTGGTTTGATTAATCCCTAGCATTTCCATTAGAAGGATATAGTGAAATACCTAGGATTGGGAAAGATAATTTTCTCTGCCCAAATTCTGAAGAGAGCTACTACTAGATGGAGTAGTCAAAACTGAGTCTTATAGCCTGTCTTAGTTATAAGTCAGCTTTATGTATCAAGAAACAGAAATAACATGTCACTAATTCTAGGCAATCAGTTCTGTGGTTTATATTTTTGAGAAGTTTCTTAGCTTTGCTGAATGAAACTGAAGTGCATTCATACTTTTCTTGCCTCCTAACTCTTTTTTCTTTTATATTACAGATAATTGTGAATTGAAAGCCGCCCTATCTGGCAGTAATGCAGGAATTACTAGTGTAGAGTTTGATAGTGCTGTGAGTATGGGTGTATTTCTTTTTTGCAAATATCTTCTGTCCTGCTTCCCTAGCCACATCACTTAGGACATTTCCAGATGAACAGTTAATATTGCTACCAAGCAAACTGCATTGTGCAGCAATTCAGTCCTATTCCTTCGCATATTTTTTTTTCTGGTAAGGGAAAAAAATGGAAGAACTGGAAAATATGGGAGTATTGTATATAATAGACTATAGTTTCTGATATGCCTATCTTCCTCCTTGAATGAGCAATACCATTGCACATTAAAAGACAGATCATCTGAAAAATGAAGTAATTGTTCTGAAGTAGGTATAAAATTATGAATCTTTTTAGTAACACACTATTTTATTCCATTTTTTTCCTGGAAGATCCCTGAAAAAATTAGGCCTGTTGCCTGTAAAAATAGACAGCTGATGTACTTTTAACCAGATCACTTTTTAATAATGCTGAAGCATTTAATGTTAGTCTGCTGCTTCTACATGATAGGGAAACTGAGTTTTGCTGAGGTCAGTGATGAATAGTAAAAGGTCTGATTTGCCCAGAAATATTGCTTCCCTTACCATCTAACTCCCAGCAGTTACTCTTCCATCAAGCTATAGAAATGGTATGAGTGGAAGAGCATTTGCTGATACGTTGTGATGTATTCGGCTTGTGTCTTTGTAGAGTATTGAGTAGACACCACTGAAATTGTTATCCAACATAAAATAGTAAAGGAGTTTTAAGTATTGGAGGCATGTAAATGGGCGTATGATCTCAATTTTTTTAACTGAGACCTCTTCTGAAGCAAAACATCTTCTCTGCCCAGGGCACTAGCAGCAGAAAGAAGTATTAGGAATAGGAGAAAGAATGGATGAGGCAAATAAATGGGAAAATAATCGATGAAAAGAAAGGGAATCAGGATAGACGAGAGGGGAGAGAATATTTAAAGATAATGAAGCTTCAAAAACTTGTAAATAAGCCCCAGAAGAAGTGATAAGATTTGGCAGTGGCCTAGATTAAGATGAGAGCATAAAATAATGTGAAACAAAATTACTTAGGCATTGCAGATTGTAGAAATGGTTATTACAGAAAACATTTTAAAAATTATTTCCATAGGGTTCTTATTTATTAGCGGCTTCAAATGACTATGCCAGTAGGATCTGGACAGTGGATGATCATCGGTTACGGGTGAGTGTTTTTTTCAAAGCAAGGTGCATGTGCCAAATTCTTGCAAGTTTTATAACTATAAAAGAGATATTAGAAATTGATCTGGGGTGTGTTAATTAATGTTAACCCTAATTCTCAATACAGTATATTATAAAACTGCGTTGCCCATTAATCATCTTTTATCTATTTTTATTCATATAGCTTGTTTGCTATTTCCAATACAGAGTGATTTGAAACTGTTTGGAAACAGATATTAAGTATTTTTTCCAAATTAACATGATTCTGAAAGAATTATACAGTTTTATAACTTTGCATATATTTTAATATTAAAATACTTCTGAACATTATTAAAAGTGAATTAGTAGCAGCACTAGGTTGGCAAACTTTTGAATCTGGTTTGGTAAACATAAAAATGTATTCCATATTTATTACTTTCATTTTCTAATCCACTCCCTTTTTGCCATAACTTGGAGGGCAGGAACATGTTTTACATACAGACAGCTCTAGCTCCAGTCCCTGAGAACCCTGCATTAAAAATTAGTAAACTGCTAGAGTTGCTCTGCCTTAAACTATGAACTGTTACTAGATTTGCTACTGGTCCTCTATATAATGAACTTTATTTAATAGTAAATATTAAGTTGTATGAACTTGGAAAGGACTTCTCTGTTTAAAATTGTAGAACTTCACTGATGGGTCAGAGGGCCAGATGATGGTTTTCTGAAGATAGTCAACCAAATATCCCTGGGAAACTCAGAAACGGGATATAACAGCATGAGCCATATCTTGTTGCATATTCCTAGCATAGATAACCGGAGGTTCCGTTTGCCAACCATATCTGTCCTCCATTGTTATCTATACCACCAGTGAAGAAAAAAATATTTGCAACCTTTTGGATACCTATTTCAGATACCAAACCTAATGTTCAAACTTGCATTATACATAACAAGGGTTTTTTTTAGTCCTCAATGTAGAATGAGGGCTGGGTAATGCTTTAAAATTCTGTTTCTGCTAAATTGTTGAATAGTGAGCCTAGGGAGACCAAGTGTTGTAAAAATTTGTTTTCTTACATAATGTCAATCTCTCTAGCACACGCTCACGGGGCATAGTGGAAAAGTTTTATCAGCCAAATTCCTTCTGGACAAAGCTCGCATTGTATCTGGGAGTCATGACAGAACCCTCAAGCTATGGGACCTGCGCAGCAAAGTCTGTAAGGAAGCCGTTTCACAGTTTCCCACATGCATCAAAGGGACAAGAAGAACACTCATTGACTGATTACCTCTCAAAGCATTCAAAATTGCTGTTCTGTTAATCTTCTGATATGTATATGGATTCAAAGCTGGCTTCTTCCCTTGGGGTAGGACACTGAAAATGAGGAATGTTACTAAAGATTCATTCCATTGATCAGTGGAACTAAACATTTTACTGTTGCCCCAAGTGTCATCTTGGTAGTCACTTTTATAATATTTTTTATAATAATAAGTGAAATAGGTTTAGATTTCTAAACTTCCTTGACTTTGAAGCCATATCAGTCCTTGGATAAAAATGGCTAGTGTGCTTCTATGAAAAGACATGAGCAGATACCAGCATTAAAAAAATCTTATATTGTTTGATTGCTTGTTACTCTTACCCAGAGTGATTGTTAATCAGTTTCTTCTATTAGTATTTATATGAAATTTTAAAAAGTGTTAAGTGTTAAGTTTATTTCCTCTTCTTTAGCCATGTACATAACATAGGCTCTCTATGTCATTATACATCTAGGCTGATTTTGTTTTAACAGCAGTTGGCATTTTCCATTTGGTTTGTAGTTTTTGGCTCCTGATAATGCACATAAGCAGAAGTGGTAGCTACCGTTTATCTCAGTGCATTTGTATTCACCATTCAGCTAATATAAAATGGATCCAGTGCTATCCATGTATGAAGTTTGCATTTATGTTTGTATATGTGCAAATACTACTGTGACTCACAGTTTGATATGCATTGTTTTTGCAACCAGAAGAGTATGCTGGTTTAGGAAAGATGTATTTTCTGTTATTGGGCCAAGATTGATTTCTGCCCTTTGAAGTAGATGCCCCTGATAAAGATTTATATTAAGCAGTACTGCTGTCACCAGAGACTAAGCTTATATATCATACTGCAAAGGTCTATAATTGCTAAACCTTTAAGCAGTTAAGGAAGTGGGCTTTCCCCCTTTTTTTTTTTTTTTAGATTTCGTGACTAAGTTTTATAGAAATTTCCAAGTTTTGTTTATGATGGTGTTCATGCTTTTAATGACTTGATTTAGTGGCACCGCAAAAGATTGGTGAAGAACTAGTGGTGTGATCCACTTTTTCCTTCTGCATATATAAGATACATATTCTAACTAGCTGTTGCAAATTGTGTATAACTTAGGGAGCTTTGTATTGTAAATTCCTCCACGTGGATGGAGGAAAAAGCTTACTTAGCAAGCTCTGCAGATCGCTTCATTATAAATCACTCTGATTTGAGCCTTTTATCTATATTTCTACTTATAATAATTAAAATAAAGAGGACAATTTGAGTTGTCCTGTAATCTGATACCTGCACAAAGGAAGTGTAGCAGTATGTTAGAAGGAATGTCTCATGTACAGATATAATTGGCAGAAGATCTGGGTTCCGTTATTTACAAAATATGACATCAGACCATCCCAGATGTTGTGTGCTAGGAACTGCGGTGTTACTTAAAAGTATCCCTAGCAGTGGGTCAATTGTCTGAATTATGATTAAGTCACTGATAGATTGTGTCATCAAGCTATCTCTAGGTGTGATTGTTTATATTTCCTCTCTTGTAATAAAAGTATAAACAGATGACAAAAGCCCCCAGGGACTTTAAGCCTCAGCATAGACGAGAAGACCCAGGAAGAAAAGTAGTTGTGTACATGCCAGCTAGCAAAAGGAGTCCATCTACTGCCATTTCTTTGGGGTTCCTGGCAAGCTGGAAGGATGTGTATTAAGGACTTTTTAACTGTTTAAATATTTATTAAATAAAACTCTTTTTTGATATTTTGCCCTGAATTGAAACCGTTGTCTCCAAATCCTAAAAAAAACTATTAGCTACCGGTTGGCCACTGTTACCAACACACTTGGCATTGTTCTGCCAAGCATAAAAGGAAAATATGTTGCCATTCATTCTTAAAACATGAGAAAATTGTTCTTTATGTCTATCTTCTACTTTTTCTTTTTGCTTGTGCTTTAGAAAATTGATGGGGATGGATAGCTAGCTAGCTTATGTAGGCTCATGTTCCTACCAGTTTCAGTTCTTTTGAAATGAACCTAATGAAGACACAGGATCCTATGATAGTTTTTGAGCTAGAAATTAGACCTAGGTAAAATAGCCTTCAAATATCTCTCCTAAATTATAGATAGAGAAATTGTATGGATCATTTCTCTGAATTGAATTCCCTTTCCTCAGGATTTGGAATTGAATTTAAGCATGAGAAGCCAAGAAGTCTTTCGACCCCAGGAAATATTATAATACAATGAAAGACAGGGCATTCTCATTCATCCCTTGGCTAGCTCAAAACTAGATAAGTGTACTCCCCCATGAGCATTTCTCCAGAATTTTGTTCTGATTGCAATAATCTCCAAAACAAATTCTCTGACATAAAATTCAGTAAGAGCTAGTAAGGAATATGCAGTAAAATCTCTTTTGCCAATACTAGTATAAATAGCAATTTTGGCAGACATAGAAGAAAGATTCTGGGTTCAATTACATGATTAGTAACTTCATCTTTTTAAAGGTACAAAGACGGTGTTTGCTGGCTCCAGCTGCAATGATCTTGTCTGCACAGAACAGTGTGTAATGAGTGGACACTTTGATAAGAAAATTCGCTTTTGGGATATTAGGTGAGTGCTATGCTCTAATAAGTTGTGAAAATCAATGGTTCATTATTTCTGTATTGTATTAGAAATATATATTAAGGGTATATGGATTAGGTTTGATTTGAAAGTTTCACATAACTCAGAAATTTGATCCATTTCAAGTTAAATATTCAAACTGATCCACAAATCACTCAATTTATTTAGACTATGTATCTGCATTTAATCCAATATGATTCAGTGTATTAAACCACCTACACTGGAAAATACCAAAATGCATCTAATCTGAATCATTTTGGATTGTTGAGAATTCACACAGGCCTAATATATAGGCTCTAATTGCGGGCATTAAGCATTATGCAGTTCACCTGAGAAGTACAGGTAGGCAAAATGTTTCATTGTTGAAATGTCCTTTCCTGACCTCACTGGAAGTATTCCAACCTCAAAACATTCTATTCCAACTTCCTTTTGAAATTGGGAGAGACCATTTTGATGTCAGAATGATTCCAGTGAGATCAGAATCAGGTTCAGATTCAGGACCTTTTGACTGCAAAATATTTTACATGTTTCTAGCAAAGAGTGATAATGGTTGCAGTGTGAACCCATGTAGAAAACTACATATTAGTCAGCCCTAGGGCAGAGGAGAGATGCATAAACAATACCTGAAGCCACACTGCTAGACTTTTGGTTCACCTGAGTCAGAAAACTTGATCAGAAAAATGGTCCTGCTTCCAAACCTAGGAAATTCCCTGACTGGTTCCCAACAGGCAGGTAGTTTAAGGACTGATACCTTCACATTCAAATTTTAGGAGGTTGAGTAGTATTCAGTACTTCAGTGAAGAATATAATGCATTTAAGGCCAATGGAAAACAAATGCCTTTCTTCAGTGACTGCTACAAGAATGCTAGTAAACACTAAAGTGAATTTACCCATTGCTGTTTTAAAAACTTAAAAACATTCATACTTGAACATACTGGTTTTTAAAGACTAGATTTAAACACTGTTTTTGTTCTAAACTGCAAACAGTACAGAAAAGAAACCAATTAGCACATAAATTATGCTACTGATTACATCCTTTATCCACTGTAAAGTTTCTAATGAGGCTTCTCATATGCCACTAAACTAGGTACCATTAAGGAAATGTTAACTTGTGTTATATTTTGTTTTTAGAACTGAATGTGTGGTACGGGAAGTGGAATTACTGGGTAGGATTACAGCTCTAGATCTCAACCCTGAGAGAACAGAGCTTATTACTTGTTCTCGGGATGATCTGTTGAAAATTATAGATCTCAGAAGCAACACTGTCAAACAGACATTCAGGTGAGTATGGCTCTACAAGTGGGTTGTAGACTTCACGTCTGTGTCAAAGGCCAGGAATTCAGAGTTTATCCTGTTGTCATTTAATGGTAATAAGCAGCCAGTTCTTGAAAAGCATCTTTGTTGACTGCCCGTGTCATACTAATGTAGATATTTGTGCTTAATAAAAATAAAGGAAAAGGCCAGGTTGGTTTGATTATTAATTTTTCGGATTTGTGTTGCTAAGATGTCTATTCTGTAGCTGTCTATAAAATTAAAAGTACATTTAATAAATGGTTTTGTGTTGGGGGGTGTTTCTTCCAGTGCTCCAGGATTTAAATGTGGGTCTGATTCGACTAGAGTTGTATTCAGGTAAGAAGCTGAGCTACCAAAACTTGAGTTGGATGTAGTATTTTCTTCTGGCTGGCAAGTTTTATACATTGAGACACTTGATAAGTATATTAGATTAGTTAATTAAAGTTATTCTGTATTTCTATGAAACTTTGAGAACAGAACCAATTCTATCCCCATTGACCAGAAGAAAAGGAAGTTCAGAGCATCTAATTAGTTGTAGGGCTAATTCATTTTGCACTTAGTGTTTTAGGCAGGAGGGAAACTAATTTAGTGTCACCTCTGCAGTGTATTATAGCTAAATATGTTCCTCCCATTTGGTCAGAAGAGAAGTCCACGGCATTTGGGAAATTACCATCATCTAATGACATGTGCTACAAACAGCAACAACAATTTTTTTCTGTGCTTTTTCCCCTGTGCACCGAATCTGTGATTTTTCAGCCCTGATGGAAATTATGTTGTGGCTGGCTCAGCAGATGGATCACTGTATATATGGAATGTGCTCACTGGAAAAGTGGAGAGGACACTTTCCAAGCATCACAGGTGAGTCAAGATAATGTTAAAATCTGAACCTGCTACATTTTGTGAGGAAACTAGCCTTTAAGCCTTCCTGAAACTGATGCTCACTACATGTATTGGGGCTATTATTCCCAGTCTACAAAGCTAATGTTAAGTAAAACTAGAGCTAATTAAATGATTGCTCAGAACATTGCTGGAGTACATGAAGAGGTCAATGGCAACACATCCTTAAGCAAGCTTTTCTTGTTCTACTTAGTGAATAGCAATAGTCTTCAAAAATAGCTCTGTGGAGACTAAGCAGCATTTCCTCCTTAAGCCAAACTTTGTGTCTTTTGGGGATCTAATATATTTATGTTATCTTTTTGTTTCAGCAATCCTATCAATGCTGTGGCATGGTCACCATCTGGAGCCCACGTGGTCAGTGTGGATAAAGGAAACAAGGCTGTGCTGTGGTCTGAATTTTGACCTAAAAGTGCAAACACTAGCTTGCCAAAAAAAACCCAAAACAAAACACATGGGAAGGCAATGATCTGTTTCTGCCTACAGAGGGCAGAAGTCCCATATCTGGCTCCCACCCAAGTTTATTTGCTGAGTGCATAAGTTTGCCTTTAGCAAAGAATTATTGATGCATCCATGAGGAAGAAAAGCAGATCCTGATTACAGTATGTTGCTGCTGTCTAACTTTCATAAAGATTTGGGTGTAGAATTGGTCATTTTTAAAATGTACCATCTGCACACTGAAAAGGTTCTCACACCAGATAGCAGTGCTCCTGAAACAATATTCTATGGCATTTCACTTTTGAGTGCTGTAGCAAAAGTTCCTGTATGTTCTGACTTTTTGCATGTATTCACACATGTGTCTTCTTCTCTGAGCTAGCTAAGATACAAAGTGAAGGATCCTAAGGCATAGAATGGTGGAGTCTGAAGTGTAAGCTTATTTGAGTAAGTCCATGAATTTGGCAGTGGCATCTACAGGACCTCTAGTACTTAGCAAACCACAGCTTCTTGTATCAGCTTGATTAATGGCAGGCAGAATTGGCTGAAAAACAGACGTATCCTCCAAAGGTTATCCAGGTAGCAGTGATACAGAAGCATTTTAATTTGACCCAGTACATTTTGGGTTTTAATTGTGAGATAGAGCAAGAGGTTCTGTTGTAATGAAGAATGTATGATTAGCATGACTTCAGCACAAAAACCAAATACACAGCAACTTCTGCTATCCAGCAGTTTTGTATTGAGGGCAAAGGACACGAAAGGAAATAAACACCTGAAGCTGAATGTCCTGGTGCTGGCAAATCCGTATCATTTGCCTCTGACTTAAATGTGCAATATTCTTTCTGTGTTGGAGCTCTCTCTTTCTCTGCCATGGAACAGGCTTGGGGGCCTGTAACCTTTGGTGGTTAAATGCACAATATGGTTTGAGGAGAATTAATTTGTGGCATTGAACATTCATCCAGCCAAATACTTTTCCACATTCAGTGGGCTGTGATACAAGCCACCAGCGTTAAATTGCCTTTTAATTTGCACTTTAATTTTTCTTCCTTCCACAACTTGTTTTGTATTGCTTGTATTGGAGGGCAGGTGAGCAGGATTCTTTTGGGTGTGGGGTCTCATTAGAAGACCCCTTCATTTTAACAACTTATGCAGAGAAAAATGGAAAGTACATGGGACAAACTTTATTTATTGTACTAATCTGTCCATTAGTACTTGACTGATTATAAATAAACCAGTATCCTGCTTCTAATTCTGCATTGCTTTTCCTTATTTTTTTTAATCTGCTTTGGGTACAGACATAGGGATGAGAAGAGAGAAGCAGTTTGAAGAGAAGACTAAAGGCTCTCTATAAAGTTGCAACTGCAAATATACTTGCAAAACCTACAGTGGGATGCTGGGGCAGAGGGAAGAAGGCATCTGTAAAAAAGGGCCAGCAGTACTGTGGGGACAATAAGAAACAGTATTGAAAATGGACGTGCCAATATTGTAATGCCCTTACATTAATCAGTAGTGTGACTGCACTACTGTTCTGGTTGCTGCACCTCAAAAAGGATATAGTGGAGCTGGAAGTGGTTCATAGGACTAAGATGATCGAGGTGCTGGAAAGGTAAGGAACGGAAAGGAAAGGAAAGGAAAGGTGATATTTGGGGTTTTTTAGTCTAGAAAAGGCAAATAGGAGGGGACATGATTATGATTATAAAATTATGCATAGTGTGGATAATGTGGACAAAGGGAAGCTATTTTCCCCTTCCCAAAATACTAGAACCAGAGGTCGCCTTTGAAGAGAAGACTAAAGGCTCTCTATAAAGTTGCAACTGCAAATGCGACCTCTGGTTCTAGTTGGATAATGTGGACAAAGGGAAGCTATTTTCCCCTTCCCAAAATACTAGAACCAGAGGGCGCCCTATGAAAATGAATCCTGGAAGAATTAGGACAGACAAAACTTTTTTTTTTTTTTTTTACACAAAACAAACTTTGGAAATTGCTACTACAAGAAATTTTGCTGGTTATCAGCTTGGCTGGCTTCAAAAAAAGGGTTGGACCAATTCATGGAAGTCCTGGGGATCGATGGCTATTAGCCTCGATGAAAGAGCGTCTGCCTCTGCAGGCCATCTGCTGAGAGATTAGTGGGTTTCCTTGTCTGGTTGGTTGGCCACTGTGAGAACAGACTGCTGGACTCAATGGACTGGGGGGTCTGATTCAGTGGGGCTTTGCATATGTTCTTATGTTCTAGGAACATCTTTAGAATGTTCATATCAGCAACAGGATTTGCTGTCTACTGTAGTTTATTTCTTCAGTGAGTCATTAGGTGGCAAAACCATTGCTACTGCTTGCAGTTCCCCTCCTCTGATATCAGCATATCAGAAAATGTCTTAGTGAGGAAAAGAGGTCATCAACTAAATACTTCATATGCTAAAAGGGGGAGAATTATACATGTACAATTACCAAAATTATTTAATTTTATTTATTTTCTCTTGTGTCTTACTACAGTCTTAACATTACTTCCAACTTGGCTTGCCCTGTGCCTTTCTAAACCCTTTGGTGATGCTTTCCTGATGAAAGGCTTGCTAAACTGGATATTTCCACATACTTCATATAAATGAATGGGAGCACAGCGGAACCAGTTGTAAACATACCTGATGATTTTAAAAGAGTGCCATCCATAATAGAGGGTTAAACATGAAATCTGATCGGTGTAAACATAGTTGGGGCAATGGCTTCTGTAGGCTCCCACAATATTACTTTTGTGTGTTTTCAATTTAAAACATTGTCTTTCTTTAACATGCAGCTTCAGGAGGAGAATAGAGAAATATGTTGGTTTTTCTCATTTAGCCAAAGGATTTTTTAAAATGTTATTTTACATTTGTTCAGATGAACCATGCTACTACTGAGCAATGAAGTTTAGTGAGTTAGAGGTGTTGTTCTCCTCCCAGAGCAGAAATCTTTATTTTGTAGTCTGCCTAAACCTTATAGGGCATCCCAGATCTCCTTCAAAAGTTGTCACTGGATTATAATTGTTAAGATGACAGCTGGAGAAAATTATGAAATCCTTGGAAAGTAATTACAGTTATTTATTCAATCAAAATTTGCTTTATCTTGACCTGACTCCCAAAATGTGCAACTTCTTGTCCTAGAGTAAAAGAACGCTCTTTGGTTCTTTATCTTTTAGTGTTAGTAGCTGCTTTTTCCAAGTTATCCCATAGTGTGCTATGAAAACTAATAACATCTATAATGTGAAACTTAATGGTCTTAGGAGGGGGACATTGACATTTAATAGCATTTCATGAACATATATTGCTCTGGACCGTGCTTTAGTCATAAGAACTGCAGCATTTTCATGTCTCTCCAGAAAGAAATCCTGAGAATTCTGTCTTGAGTTTCTTCATATACATGGTAACTGATATAATTTTAGTACTAGTCAAACTTTTGCATCTGTTTGAAATAATTTAATGCCTTATATGCCAAAAATGTTTTGGCATGTATGCCTGGCAAAGAAAAGAGATGTCTTCCATATGCCCCACTGACCTCAAGAATATATGCCCATGACAGATTCTGATGCTGAATCAGTGAGATGAAGGCTTATCCAAGATTATGCTTAGTCTCCATAGAAGAACACTGTAGGTGTTGTGTAATACGTGAGTTTACACAACTCATGTATTACACAATGTTTAGTCAGATGCCCTGAATGATACAAAACAACACAAGTGCTTTTCATGAAATACAAAATCCACAGCGTGGCAATATTTTCTAGGAGCAATGAAAATGCTATAAAAAAGGTGCAAGCTTTTTAGTTCCCCAAGACAGACTAGGTGTTGCAAAATAATGAAGAAAGCATGTCTTCTTCGTTCTTATAGTTTTCATTATTACAGTTTAAGTTTGCTCTGAAATTTAAAATTCCAACAAATATTCAATTATACATTACATCATAGGGAAAAGAAACATTGATACCAATAATTATGGAATCATGATTCTATAGCTCAGTTTGTCTTCTCTTAGGTAAATGCTGAGAGCAAAAGTAAAGAACATACACATATTTGCTCCCAAAATGGTAACTCAATATACCAGCTGCACTGGCTCCAAATTGGCTTCCGGGTGCAACGCAAGGTGTTGGTTGTCGCCTTTAAAGCCTTGCATGGCATAGGATGGGTTACGTGAGAGATTGCTTTTCTCCAGGGTATGTGCCTGCCCCACACACTCTGATAGGGAGAGTGCACTTCAGGGCCTTTAATTGAAACTGCCATCTTGTGGGAGCCAGAAGATGCTCCTTTTTGGTGAAGGCCCCTGTCTTATAGAATGACCTTCCTCCTGACGTATGATTGGCCCAGACCCTGCTGGTTTCTCTAGGTTGCTGGTTGACCCTGCCCAGACCTGGCTGTTTCTCTGGACCTTTGCTTTGTGAAGTACTGTACTGGAGTCCCAGATGGTGTTAAAGGCTGTTTGGATTGCTATTTTATTATTTTATTGCTTCATTACTTTCTGTAGGTACATGTATTGTGGTTTTGTATTCTTTTAGTTAGGTTTTATTGATTTTTTTTAAGAGTCCCTTGGTTGAGTTGGGCAATCATATAAATGTTTTAAATAAATAAATACCATTGCTAGTTGCTAAGAAGCAATGACTTAAGTCATTAAGTCTTTTTTGGGAGAAATTAAAATTGCAGCTATTGAGTATAACTGATGTTTTTGTTGTTGTTCAGCCACATTATGGTTGAATTATAGCTTGTTTAAAGTACTATAAACAATCTTGGAATAAAATGTTGATGCAAAAGATTTTCCCCTGAGCTCTTCCTATCCATTGTAATGTCTGTGCATTGAAGATGCTTTAAAGTAGCATATATAATTGCTACTTTAGCACATTTATTCCATTTTTCAGTATACAACAAGTTGTCAGTAATAAAGAAGCAATCTGTGTCTTTCTCTTTTGTTTAATTGTTAGGGTTGTTTTAACTTCATAACACATTATTTGAACTTTCATTACATATTTGTTTCATTTCCCACACCTGGAATATAATAAGTAACCATATTAAGAGGTACACAAGCAGTCATGCATATATACCCCTGTACTATGTTGTCCAAGAAAAAGAGGAAAATTGATTTTCTTGTACAAACCTATGCATACATTTTAGCAAACTTTATGTGACTGCATTTTAAATGTATATTTATAAGGAAATGCTAATCAAATCAATTTTATACAAATACCAGTTTCCTAACTAACTCTGCAATCTTAAGCATGTTTCTCTGTGTATAAAGAGCCATGACTATGGTGTAATTTTGAGTAAATTGTACTGTCAGTCATTCAGCTGATTGCTAACCTTCAAAGGGAGAATGGTAAGGGACTGAAGCAGCATAGAAAAGTTAATAGATTTAAATGTTGAGATAAAAGGGAGCAACAGCAAAATATAGTGAAATAGCTATATTGTAAACAATGGGCTGTTTAAAAGGAATTAAGGGCCCAGAGACTCTGCAGAATCCACCAAGATATTGATAATTGAAATCCTTTAAAAATGTTTGCCAAAAGGCTGGGTCCTGAGTCATTAAAGGCTTTATAGAGATGGGCACATTATATATCAGCACTCTAAATAAGGCCTGGGAGCTCACAGGCAAGCAGTGCAGCTCTTTCAGAACAGTATAACCTAGTCCTATTTAGTTGCCCCTCTTAACAATCTGGGTCCATTCCGTACCACCAGTTGCAGCTTCCAGATCGCATTCCAGATAATCCTGTAGAATGCATTGCAGTAATCCAAGTGTGAAATTACTAAAGCAGGGATCACTGAAACTAAATTGTTCAGGTAGGTTTGTGGCTGATGTACTTTTTGTCTCTGAGGCCACCTGTTCCTCTAATGACAGACTGGAATCAAGGAGCGCTACCAAGTTTGTGTCCATTCCTTCAAAGGTACTGCTATCTTGTCCTTCCTAATTCCATAATACCCATGTCATTTCTATTCAGCTTCGGTCTTACAATACTTGAAAACTAGTATGTGTTCACAATGTCCTATGAAGAGGTAACATGCACAGGGCTGGATCTGGAAAGATACACCTGTCTATCATGATGGATGTCTTGTAACTGGATGTTTAAAATCCTATTCTTAGAAAAATTATAGGATTTTTCAACTAGGGAAGGGGTTCCTATCAGTGATACATATACAAGTCTGCAGACTGTGCACATAAAGATATATTGAGTTACACAAGCAGTAATAGACAATGCTTTAGCTTCTTAGTAGACCAGGATGAATCTCAGCCCTAATAAGGACAAGATGAGGAAGAGGTTTAAAATAAAGCTGCTTTCAATAACCTCATTAAATCCTCTGTGTGTTGTCTCTGCTTTATGAAATTGGAAAGGTTGACACTGTAGAATTTAGGATAGCCTCGCCTAAGCACCAAATCTGATTTTCAGAGCTGCTACAAATTGCCATCCTGGCATCTAAAGGAGGTAATGCTTCACTGGCAGCAAGGAAGACCAAGGGTTTGGGGGGTTTTTTCCTGCCTGGATCATGCAAACTTGTACTTTGGGATAGATTTCTATTTTACAGGTCCTGGAACTTTCTGTTTTCTGGTATTGCTGGGGCATTTGGAACATTTACAGGTACTTTTTTTTTCTTGCAGATTTGGCCACTGCGTTCCTAGGCAACCTAAATATCAGTATGACCGGTTGAATTAAGTGAAACATAATTCTAAGAGAATGTACATATCGTTACTCTGTACATTTCTTGTTCCTGATTTCTCCAGTGCGTCAATCCTGATGCTAAACATATCGTGTAACTTATTTCAGAGTGCAAGAATTGCATAAGAAATCTTGTCAGTTATTCAACAATATTATTTCCACTTTGGGAAAATTAGAACTAATATGTCACTGTAACTGTAGAAAGCATTTTAAAAATGCACTGATGGTTCATCATTGGTCTGCATCCCCAAGACTGAGGTAAACAGCTGGAAGCCATTCTTATTGGCATAACAATGAGATGTATTGTAGTTATTGAAAAAGAGAGAGAGAATATTAATAATTGAAAAATAAATCTTCCTAATAACTTCTTTAGGGGAAAAAATGGGATGAGCAATACATGTTGTTGCTTTTTTAAAAGTCCAAATTCTTGAACCTAAAACAGTAAGGTATGGCAACAATATGTTGTTAATTTATCAACTTCAGTTTAATCAATAGAGCTATAATTGAAAGATGTGATCAAAATTGTTGCCCTGAGTTTTGTATTTCTTATTCAGAACTTTTTGAAATGTAAGGCAAATCAGCAGAAATATGGGATGCTACACAACTATCTAGACTACAATGAATTCCCAATACTTAATTTAAATCATTGAGATTTTGCTAGAAGCAAGGTATTTTAGAACTGAAAATACCTATTGTCTCATATAGGACTGAGTTCAATCTGACTGAATCTGAATTAATTGGAGTTTGACTCCAATGTCTGCAGTGATCTAAAGAGGCAAACTAAATGCACACCAACTTTTGAGCAGAAAGTAAGGCACTGAGGAGAAATGTCATAGTATTTTGATTTTTTTTTCCTAATAAACTTTTGAAAAATTGTAATAACACCAAGTAGAGTGCTAAGAATCTTTCTGAGAGGATCTGAACTGGGATACTGTTTGTTAGCCTCCAGTTATATTCTCCTTATATATTAGTATAACAAATGAAAATTATAACATCTTGCAAACCTCCAATGTCCTATCCTTATGGAAGACATGGATAGTAACCCTTGCAGAAACTTCTCATTGTAAAAAAAAAATGAAGAAGTGCAAATCGATATATTAAATAACTATGAAATCTCACTAATATCTTACACTGACATCAGGAACACAATAATCAGTAATCCTAGAGTAAGAGTTTAGTGTACATTTTACTTATATCTGCTGTAAAAGAGGTCGGAAATCATTCTTTTTCTGTATTTCTAATTTTTTTTTAATCTTTCTGCACTTCTGTTCCTCTTTCTCTTTATTCTTTCTTTTCTTTACTCTTTTTCTTGATTATTAATTCTTGTTAGTTTTTATTTTTCTGTTTTAAAATTTAATAAAGTTATTATAAAAAAAAGGAACACAACATTTCTGAATATAAAGATGGAAGGCACAGAAAGGAAGTGTATTATGTACAAGGAGCTACCTACTGGATAATGTCTATGGCTTTCACTTTAAGCCACTTCTTCCTCACTCTGTTGCCTTTCAAATATGATGGAGAATTCAGAAAGAAATTAGAGAAGCTGAAGTCCAGGACATTTAGAGGGCTAATCCAATGGGCAAATTCCTAAATTTGGGATTAATAGGCAATTGTGCGATGCTTCAGACAACATTATTTAAAATGTTTAAATTCAAATTCAAAGCTTGTTGATCTTACAGTTTGCCTATTCATTGCCTGGTGCTGGTCTAAAGATTTCTTGAGGTAGGAACATTTCATCCTTACCAGGTCACATAAGCAGAGCGATGAGCTGCACTGACACTTCAAGGCATCACTCGATTTCCGAAATCTCTGTGAAGCATGTCAGACCCACTAAAAGGCATGTTATCTACAGGAAGACATCACATGACAAAGCTGTAAGTATTTAGCATTAAACTACTATCTAGCTGTAAGTATGTGAGACTGAGAGTCTTGAGATATACTTGCCTCTTTAATGGCCAAACTACAGTGACACTGAGGGCATATCTGCCTTGCATTTTCAAGCAGCATTTCTCCTCTGCTTGTGAAATCTAAACCAGCTTTAAAAAAAACTGTCCAGATTGAGATTGTTTGGCCACATCTTGAAGAGGATTCAATTTGGACTGTAGCTACCATGTCCTCCCATTAGGTAATTCCCCTGCTGCTGTGTCTTCCCAACTCTGTTCCTTTCTCTTACCTCCCTATTCTTCCTGGGTTGCTTTTTTTAAAAAATAAGTAACCCTTGTACCACAAGTGATTGCAGAAACAATTAAATGGTGTACCATGGACTTAATTTTTAAAAAGCCTAAGGAAAAATCAGAAAGTCAGTGAAAGCAAAATAATAATTTAAAAAAAAACCAAAATTTTAAAATTTAATTAATTAATTAACAAATTAAATTTCTGCTAAAATTTAAACAGAGAATATTCTGCATCTGAAATAGTACTCTGACTACCACACCATTGAGATAACGTTGTCACCGAGACAGCAAATGACTTTCTTGAAATGCTTTCAAAATGAGGTGAAGAGACATGCTTTCCTCCGCAAAGTAACCAGGGAACTGCTTCGGTCAGCCGGTAATGAAATAAAGTTGCAGCAGCCCAAACTGACAGGAGCACATGACTTCATATAACAGCAAACAGCACTTTAAAGCAGTGTTTCTCAACCTCAGCAACTTTAAAATGTATAGACTTCAGCTCCCAGAGTCCCCCCAGCCAGCATGGGGAAATTCTGGAAGTTGAAGTCCACATATCTTAAAGTTGCTGAGGTTGAGAAACATTGCTATAAACTGCAGTAGAAAAACACATTCAGAGATTGCATTTCCAATGGAAAAATGGTAAATGAATTACATTGTCCATTCCCGCCCTCAAAATATGGTTGTTCTAGTGATGGGGAAGCTAGACAGTACCATTAAGAACTATGGCAGAATCTACATCACTTAGACACACCTCAAAATCTTAGGGTTAGTATAGTGTTTTTCAAACTTGGCATGCTGGCTGGGAAATTCTGGGAGTTGAAATCCACACATCTTAAAGTTGTCAAGTCTGAAAAACACTGAGTTAGTAGATGTAGAAGGGAGTTATTTTCATAGCAACTGGGGTCAATTAAGGCTTGTTAATAGGAATGCTGGCATAGGCCATCTATCTTCACCTCAACGTCCAGGGAGAGAAATATTAAACTTCTCCACATGTTTAATATTTGACACTCATCTCCAACCCTAAAATGTATTGTAAAAACTAATATACTAAATATATATTTAGCCTCCCATGTAGTTTGGCCCCAAGTGGAAAACAAAGTTTGTTGCAGTCAATCCACTCAAGTAGCTTCTGTTGTCTTGTCAAATGCATAATCAAAGCCCATTGTGCATTGTTTATACTTTAAAGGAAAATGCTGACTAATGGAAAAGTAAAAACATAATTTAGGAGATACAACCATTCTGAGCTAGACAAACTCAACTCTCAAAATGTATTTCTATATAATTGATTTAAATGTAAGAGGCCCTTCCCTTCCAGTTTTACATCTGGACAACCAAAGTTTTATTGCATTTCAACTCACAACTGATTAAGAGGTCTTTTTCAACTGGTTACTATTTTAATTTACATTATTAGCCATACTGAGTTTGTAGAGCAAAGCCCAGGTATAAATGTATCAAATAAAGAAAGATATCTAGACTGCCTTCTTAACTTTTATTTGATACCAACCATGATGGTATAGCATCCTTAAATTGATTTATTGAACTGTAGTTTTCAATCCTACAGGTTACAATCTACTTAGGAAAGCGAGATTTCATTGATCATGTGGAACATGTGGAACCTGTGGGTGAGTCCAAGTTACAACTTTCTTCTGTGATCTTTTTATAAAGCTTGAGTGGTTTATTATTATCTCTTCTTCATTATAGATGGTGTTGTATTGGTGGATCCTGATATTGTGAAGGAGAAAAAAGGTCAGAAGGCTTAATCACTACTTAACGTACTTAAAGTATTATTAATATGATGATTTAAAATTAGAATGACTCCAGATTTGTGTCAGCTGATCTCCGTCAGCAAAAGCTGGTCATGAGTTATATTTCTGAAGGTGCATAAGAACTTTGTTATGGAAGAGGATCTATAATCATTCTAGTCTCAAATTTATTTTATTTTTATTTATTTAATAGACTTGTCCTCGCCCATCTCCCCACAACGGGGGACTCTGGGCAGT